CCAGTGTTCGCTGAAGCGAGCTGGGACGTACCGCCCCCATTACCGCCGGAGCATCTCTGCGACTTCCGGACGTGGGAACACTGCTCCGCGCTGGGGTTAGCGGCACGGGCGGCGTAAGACGACTACATCGACAACGACGTCTCGCCACACGTCGGGACGTCGCTCATCCATCTGATTATGGCCGCCCACTGCTACGGGAAGGAGGAGCCCGGAGGACGCTCGCGGGGTCAGAAGATTCTGATCCTGCTACAACGTTGTTTTCATTTAGGTCACCGGTTGACACTGCCAGAATATGTTCGCGTAATTGGCAGGTTCCATTATCGGGGATTTCTCGGCCCAGCCAGCTACGTGCTTACGAGGGCAGTGCCACCTATTCTGCCGCAGCCGCCATGCCTGTCTGCCGTGCAAAGTTACTAGCAAGGCGTCATTCCCCCTGCCGCCGCCGGGTGTTAGCGTACACCATGATCACTTGTAGTCGCCTTGAGAGTGAGCTCGATTGTCGAAAGGACTACCCAAAATACACAGAAAGTTATTCTAAATTCGCTTATCCATTCATCCATCCTCATCCACAGTCAGCCTCACCGCCTATTGTATTCACGTTATACCCAAAGTGCATATTATGATATTTCAAGACTAACAATATGAAACAAATTTTCGAACGATTCATTGCCGACATGCGATTGTTTCACAAGCCTATTGAATTGCACGTGTTATTGTTTATTGAGTATCCATGGATGTAAACTCAGCAGTCGTGATGCACGCGAATAGGTGCGCTCGGCACACGCGTAGAGACAAGCACGAGTGTTATTGGAAATTGTAGGTATGTTTAACCGCGGTCATATATTCTCGTACTATGTGTTTAATAGTGTAAAACGGTATATACGTTGTAACGTAAACGATTAGTAGAATTTAGTCTACATATACGTATGGAAAAGCGCTTATAGTTAATGACTTATATTTCGGGTAGAGATAGCTATAGTTGACATGCTGAGTGCAGAAGGCACTACGCCGATAATAAAGACTAATGATTAGCCGAGGAACTTTAGTTCCAGAACTCGTGCAAGGAACATTGTATTAACAAGTCACGAGTAGAAACGTTAACTAACAGGGATAACAGCATACGTCAGTCTACCGACTTCATCGTCTGCAGCTCTCAACGCGCCAGGGGCCAGCCGTTGGACGCAGCGGGATGGACAAACCACACACCAACGTGGAGGACGCCGGGGAGATCAGCAGAACGACGAAGTCCGCAGCATCTGACTAAGATCGTATAGGGGACTGTTAAGTAACGATCACCAGCGTGCGAGTCGATCGAACTTAACGAAGCCCCAACGCTCGACTCGAATAGGACGCTATGATACAGCATTGTCACTATTCTATATGAATCTTTACGGTTACATTGTGTTTGGTTTATAAATGTCTAATTGTAATCAGTCAGGAGACTGACAAGCCGATTAAATTACCGGTTTAATCGACTTGAATATGGCGGGGTGAAATGTGGCGACGTGGCAACGCGAAATAGGTTACTGCGCCATAACAGAGATGACTCATCGTCACATGTTCGAACACCTTACATCCGGGCAGCAGAATTACACAGAATCAATACGGCACGCGGGATGCTCACTGGTTATATTGATCTGGGACGGATGGCATAATGAGATGCCTATAAAAAGGGGGGAGATAAGAAGATTCGGAGGAGTCGGGTGTGGCACTGGCTAGCTGACCCGCACATGTACGCTGCAACATATGTATTTAATTAAAGACGTCTATATCACGTATAATATACACAACCTCTTCGACCATCATTGTCTACAACCACTGACCGATCAGAGACCGATAAAGTAACGACGGAATACCAGGGCTACAAAAATATTTGTTGTTAAAACTGTACCTCGTAAGTAAAGAGCCTCCTGCATATTTTGATATAAACAATGCCCATATACCATTTTATTACTTTAATAGTCATAGAGTGCCAAATCTACCCAAATTTCTCTGTAGTGGGTTGTGGGATAACATAATCACATTTCTGACGGTTTCTACGTTTACCGAGAAACCTGTTGCTTTCAACGATTTCCAGTACCAGGTCAGGCAGGGTTAGTCGTATTAATTGCACGGTATACTCGCACGCTTATTCTGCATGTCCACGACCATTAGTTGCGCGTTATTAGTTCCGATTCTTCATCGCCATTGTGAGAGACCGCCGGTATCCCAGCGGTGCGCCGCGTGCGTGCGTTGTTGTGAAGGACATTGTTGACGGAATACACGGACATCGTTGTGAGTAACCGTTAGCACAAAACCATGCATCGGACGGACGTTTGCAAAACGGTTTTCTGCTCGGCCATCGTCGTCATAGTCGTCCAGTTGCTCTATCTGGCGCAGTTCATCAAAATTGTGATTTCGCCGACGACGCCGACGATGCCGACGACGACGCACATGTATGTCGACAAAGTGTGCGACGAGTTACCGACGACACTAGGTGAGCCAACTGCGTGCGTTCGCGCCTGTATCTGCCAATATATGCCTATCAATATTTGCAATAACTAACAGACAGCGCAAATCGCCCCTAAAACAACGGAGGACGCATTGTTTCATTAACGGCCGCCCTTGTGCAAATGGGGTTCTCGAATAACACATATATTAATTTAGTAGGTATGCAAGATAAGACACATGCAGCTATACGAAAGTGTCATTTTCCTTTTAGTTGGTCAATAATACCGTTGACGAAAGATTGACGTGGCAACAGTTGGAGAGTGAATTATCGAACGTGCCGAACGGTGGATAATGGCGCCCGCAGAATTCGTCTGCACACTGCTTGCCGCGCCACGTGGTGGCCATCATTGTTTCGTATATGAACCGCGAACCTCAGCTACTCGTGTTCTTGCGACACATTCATCGCTTTCTACAGCGGCAGCAAACTCACTACTGCATCTACGTTGTTGAGCAGGTATGTCTATAATTCAGCACTCAACGCTCATCGGGTTAATCACAAACCCAGTACTCGGACACGTCTTTAAACAAGCATGCTGTTAGCATCCGTAAAAATATTCAATAATCTTTACCAGGAAATTGTCAGTTAAATGTGACAGGCGTGTTTAAATGGTATCGTGTCGCTCTACCCTTCTTCGTTGACCAGAGCATCGAAGGTACGACCCACAGCTTGCTGCCACAGTTTCCCCATCCCGTCTTGCTCCTATCACACACGCAGACCCTGTTTTGCTTTGTCGGCACACAACACTGAACTATAACAAACTATATTGTTATA